GTATAATACATTTTTTATGCTTTTTTTTTTTAATATTAGTAGATAGCATATATATTGATAATTTAGAGTCAAAATATTTAGTGAATTAAAAATTCGAAGATTAAATATTTGACTCAGTGTAGGAAATTTTATACTCTCAATGTTCTCTGAGACATCAATTTTCCAATTTTCCAAGTCTTTATTATTGTAATAAACATAAAAAAAAAATTGTCTAAGAACATTAAAATCGATTTAGATTTCCAATACTGGTTTGATTAAATCAATACAGTTGACCCTCGTTAGTATTAACCTATTTGGATCACCTTTATATTCATGTTGATAGTGATATTAATGAGTTTATATTAAAGTTGATATATATGAGGGAATTTGGATATATAAAAATTTATAAAAATTTGGTTTGTGGCTTATGTTGATATTAATGAGGTATTTACTTATTTCGTGGATTACTAATTACAAAGTTTTTGATTTACTTAAATTTAAAATTTTGCATAAAATATTAATTCTGACTAATTTTTAACTAACAACACGAAATTTCAGTAGTAGTAGATATACTTTGATTCCACTTAAATAAATTATTAGGATCATATTTCTGTTTAATTTCTACTAATTTTCCAAAGATTCTCCATAATATCTGCATTGCCAATTATCTAATTCTCTCTCAATGTAGTTTTGATAACTTTCAAAACTAGTATAATGTTTTTGAAAGACTCGAGAAAAACTTTTTAAATCTTCTATACAGATTTCATAGTTATCCTTATCTAAGGTTACTCCAATTCCCAAAAAATACATAAAATTTCTGTGAACAAATGCCGTTTCATTTCGTTCAATTTCGTTGACTTTTCCACCACCAAATAACGCTGTTCTTACAAAAATTTGATATTTCAAATTTCTTATAAATTTTATTAAATATTCAACACCTTTATAAAATAGTCCTGGCGTGTCAATATAGAAAGACGTAGCTTTATAATGATTAAAATTCTTCCAAGCCGTATCTACAATATTTGCATGATACCAATCCCATTCAACATATGATTCATTTTTAGGTTTAGTCAATTCAATAAGTTCTTGTATGTGAGGTTTTGCTTCATTTAAAGAGCCTAGATAAATCCCCAAAATGTTGAATGTAATACCATTTTTTATGATCGATCACTAAAGTTAAATTTTGATGAAAACTGTTTCCCAATTTATTCATCACTGAATATACTAATTGAGTCTGATCAAAATCATAAATAAAATTTATACTAGTTACGATTTTCAGAATAGGGTAGATCTTAAGAGTTAAAGTAGTAACAATACTATAGCCTGCATTTCCAGCATCCCGAAGAGCCCAAAAAAGATCAGGATATTCTTTAGCATGATTAACTATTGTTCCATTTGCTAAGACAATTTGAGTATCAAGAATATTATCAGATGACATTCCAAATTTTTGCGTTAAATATCCATAACCCTATTGAAAAAAATTCTTATCTGTTATAGTTAAAATAGTGAAAAAAATATATGAAATTTCAAACAATACAGTACTTATACCACCCAAAATAATGCCAGAAACACCAAGTGAAGCACATTCACCACTTGGAAAAGCAAATACATGCTTATTCAAACTACGAGATAGTGTATCCAGAGTATTTCCTGTTTCGACTATAGCAGTTTGTGTTGCCACATCTATGATAATCTTATCCATGTATCTAAGATCAACAATTAAAATACAATATCTATTTCCAAT